GCAAAAATAACAAATTCAACAAAAATTAAGCGTAGCGTGAAAATGAAATACATAGAAGTATAAATATTATTTTTCAATCAGCAATCAGCGTCAGCATCAGTGGCAATTAAAGTGTATAATAACCCGAGGATAGGCGCCAACTTTAAAATGTCACGCACATAAAGTTTTAAGCATACACAAGATTAAATGAAAATCAAAAATTTCAATACAGCCACACGATTTATTTCTGAGCCACCTGACTGTCGCCTACAACAATTTGAGTTGAGTTGCGGCACACTGGTCAGGTGATACATTTGAATATACATATGTTTGCGAACACGGCTGGTGTAAATTTCGTGCGATTTAAAGTAAATTTTACATTGGCGCAAATAACCAAGCGGATTATTTTCGGTCGCAAATGAAATAATAAAGCCCCAGTCCGCGCTGTCTACATATGCTCTGATTGGTAGCAGAGAGAACTTTTTGTGCTGCCGTAACTCTAAGGATATGTAGTACTGTGTGGGTGTGTATGGTAAACAATGTTACATTTTTCTGCAGAATAACATTTTCACAAGTGGTCAAATTCTCAAAATACATCACAACAGATAAACAATTTTTCCTCCTAACAATGAATGCATGGAGGTTGTGATTTCAACGTGTGCAGGTGTTTTGTTTTTAAACTTGCAAATTACAATCCAATGTTTGCATTTCCATACACATTTGCATATCGTCAGTCAGTATGTTTGCCTTAAAAGTGTACATTTGCGGCTGTGTAAATGTGTCGGCTTACAATACTTGCATACATTAATGCATACATGTGTGAGTGGGCGTACATGTCCATTAGTGTGCGGGTTTGAATAAAATCGGATGGGCCAGGGAATTCATTTGATCTGCTATCTAATTTTTTGGCATTGAACCATTTATTTCAACTCAATAAAACACCTTCTGTCCGTGCTACCAATAACTTGAGTAAAAATTTAGTAATCTCGATAAAACTTGGTACACATGTGCTTGACACTCTAAAACCATTGCCACGAGTTCATACCGTTCTTCAGAACTGTAAAAAGCCACAAATTAAGAATAAAACAATTTTAGACAGAGTACACCATAGAGAGTGACATTTATGGTGTAAAATCAAATCATATCAACCAGACTTGCTGAGAACTAGTCCTGCTACCACCTCATCAAACAGTGAGTAAATGGAGATAGAGTGGTCGGTGCTCACCATATAATGGTAATGTGTAAAACAGCTAAAATTTTAAATTTTTTTAAAATAAATTGTAAATTCCATTTGTTTTCTCACTTTACAGTATATAAATCAAGCACAAATAAGGTTATCGGAATAAAACTTTGCGCAATTAGTACCTTTAAGCTATGCCATCTCCCAGATACCAAATACATATATGGACCCTAGTGCCGATGGCTGACTTTTTACCGAAAATAACGTTCAACCTTTGAGATATACTATTACCAATCATAGAGATTATTTTGCCAAAAATATCAACTAAAATGTGAATTGAAATCACAATACGTTGATTATCAACAAAGCAGTAAAGTCTGCTGTTGTCTGATATTTTCACATTCAAACAAAAAGAGTCATCAAATGTTTCAAAATTATGTGCAATATTACCATTATCGATAATGTAGACAAATGAGTCGCACTTATGCCAGCTAATCTTCTAATCATTGACACACTTCTAAAACATGATTTTTGGAATAGCTTTTAGTTCTATCAGCGATTTTCATGTATGCTTGTAAAACAACGTCCCTTTAAGGGCTTTTGAAATAGTCTTGCGAATATGAAGGCTGGGCATTACAGTATTGTTTTTGGCTAAGAACAAGCAACGAAATGTGAGCTTTTAACACACGAAAATCGCCAAGCTAATAAAAACACGCCTAACCTGAGCGGCTACAGACAAAGTAAGCAATGAATACAGCTAAAAATGTTATCGTACTTCAGAAGTTGTATATCAACATGAAAAAAAATGTTGACAATTGGACTCTCCCAAACCGCGAAATTTTAAATATTAAAATTCCCGTTATTTTCTGACATACCTCGTATAAGCACGTCGATTTCTCTTTTTAATGAAATTTTAGTGGGAAATTTTGCAGACTTTTAGGCTAAAATAAATATTTGCCGTGAGAGAGAAAATACCATATTTGAACATACTCGTTATTTTATCATTTAGTGTGCATTCCTACACATGAAACGGTACAAAACGTATAGCTTCATAAGGTTTAAAACCTGGAATAGGTTAAGTTTTAGCCTAATATCCGCACTGTTTTAAAATGGGAAATATAAAAATCCAGTAACAATTATCTAATAATACAATCATTAAACTCAACAGTTGGTTACATAGCCTTTTTTTCTGAAGATAAAAATTTCATCGATGTTAGGACCACTAAATATTAATAGTTTTTCGTCCAACGCAGCGGACTGCGACTCTATACTAATCCAAGGATTTTTAAACTAGTCGTTCACCCCAGACCTCACCTACTTCGGTAAAGAGTGTTTTTTTAGGCATGTCGTTTGCAAGAAGAAAAAAAACGCATATAATTTTATGTTATGGTCAAGAATTTAGCTTTATAACAAAGATAAAATTGTGCCGGCAACCGCCGCGGCTGGCTCGATTAAGTTTTTTGATCACTTTTTTCAACAATTGGATCCGTATGCCAGCAATAACGCGCCGAATATATTCTTCCCAGGCATCAATCCTTCACCAAAACTTTCCTTCAATAAATTGATTGTTTCGTTGGCTATATGTTGACTTTTTTAGGTTGTAACGGGCCTGAACAATGACTTGTGGATTATTATCACTCCAAGTGTGGCAATTTTGTTCATTAACGTACATATATATTGAACCAAAATGAGCTTCATCACTAAACAAAATTTCCTTTGGACTTCAAGTTTGGACTCATTCACCGAACATGCGACGCGTTTGATGGTCGTTCGGCTTCAATTTTTGCACGTGTTAGATTTTGTAAACCCGCAAGCCAAAATTCTTCCGCAAATTCTTCCATAAAGTGGACAGGAACAGCTCCAGTTGTTGCACGGGTTGACGCATGAATTATTTTACGCAATAGAGGCTACGATGCGCACTGTATGACGTATCTGAGGATGCGTATTATCCACTAGAAGAAACGTGGTGCGCAAACAATCCATGGCTGCTCGAATTACCAACTCGGCTGGGCGATTATTACGACCAAATATTGGACACAGCGCGCGATGCGTTGATTGAACTGAATCATTCATTACTTTGGTAATAAATTTGCACGATTTTCAAACGCTGTTCAGGAGTAAGTCTGTTCAATATGAAATTGCAAATGAAACTGACTATAAATCTAGTAACAGCTGCCAAAAAGACTAACTCCGAAAAAAGTATTGTCTGATTTAAAACCACACGCTTAAAAAAAAACGCCCGTTATTAGGCTTAACATATTGTGAGTTTTGAACTCGGTACCAAAATGAAGGAATTTCTTAAATGCTTTCCCCAAGAATCCTTATATCGAATAAGAAGAATCCATTCTTCTATTCTATTCAAAATCCTAATTTGCCATAATTTGATTATTATTTTTATAGGATATTAAAGGAAAGCAAGTATTGATTAATTTTTAAAAATTATCTTATTCTTTTACATAAAACGCCATTGATTCTTACTCCAGACAGCCGCAAGATGAAGGCACGAAATTAATTTCAGAAAATTTGAAGATCAGATAACCGTTTCCCTTAAGCATCAATAAAATGTTAAACTCTGTCTTACATATTTTTCGAAAATAATTTTCAGTTTTCTTCAAAGCTCCTATAGAACTAATGTAGATCTATTTTTATTTTAAAAATCTCAACTCCAAACAGTTAACTTACCTTTGACTTAACACGAAATGTCTTACAAATTCATTTGATGCTTTGAACTCGGAGTTACCTCAAGTTTTGGGACGCACATACATATGTATACTTGGGTTGCTTCTAATTTTGGCTAGAGTGCAGCGACAATTTTGATACTTTATTTTCTTAAAAGATAAACTGATCTTTTTCATTAGAAACAGGCAAAGTTTCTATTTATGTAACTTTGGTGACTACACACACAAATACCTTATATATGGGTGAGTACGGACAAGGAGCCATAAGTATATGGTATATTTACTAGTAGATGCCTAAAATTATTTTTAAAAATTAAGTTTCTTATATACTTACATGACGTATAGAGTAAAAGTCAGTGCATTATGGTGGAGCTGCAATCAAAATATAATTTTAATTCAGTTTTGTAGGGTTAGAGATCTCTATCCATCAAAATTGTTCGAGTTACCAAAACATGTCAACTTTTTCAAGGAAAGCAAAACCTCTTGTCGACAAACATTTTATAAATTTAGCTGAGTCTCGGTGGAGTCAATCCCTAAGCTGTCAAGAGGAAGAAGAAGATTAGAATATAGAACATATAAAACAACAACCGGTTGAGGGTTTCTTGACGATGTTTCGAAAGCTGCATATATAAAAATTTTGTATTGATGAACATAAATAGAAACTCATTAGTGAGGAGATTTTAGTTCCGGTGGTACTTTTTAAGACACTAATACATCTTTAAAATTATTAAATTTATGATAGAAACAGTGCACATGACACTGATGTGTTATACAACTTTATTTGTTACTCAACTTATTTCTCTCAGTGTCATCGTCAGTATTGTACGATCGCTGATTGCATCTCGTGCAATATTCTCACTCATTCTTTTACTTGCAAGTATTTGCTCAACTTCAATTTCTCATGACGGTGCGGCAAATCTTCAGCTCTCAATGGGTGCAAAGTCACAACAAAGTGTGCTCATCTCCACCACCCAACCCAATGCTTATTAGTATAACACGCACACAAAGAAAGATTAATATACACAAATAAGTAGTATGTGTGTAGAAATGAACTCACCCATTATATGACGCATGTGGCGTGCGGCGTGCGGCGAACTCCGTCTGCGTGTATTTACTTTTGCCGGCAAACGGCGTATGCTTCATGCTGGCTCAGCGCATTCCACACATGATCAGTTCAGTTTCGTACGTCGAGTTGTCACCAAGTGCTTTGTCCACAACTTTTCGGTGCTCTTTCCAACATTTATATCAAAGTATTACCGGAGTTTTTTTTGTGTGCAGGATATACTAACAATAGTGTGTCTACATATTCATACTAATTGAAATTAAATCAAACGGGTGTGTGATCCAAAAATTAGATCGAGTAAAATTTATCTGAAAATCTCTCGAAGGATTTTCACAGGCGATTCAAAATCTCAGAGCGCAGGAACACAAAGCAATAAAAGCCGCACTTAAACGCGAATTCGCGAGTTTCCTGTAAAAGCTAAATAAATCCAACTTTTTTACAAAATGAGGGAAATCGTGCACTTGCAAGCCGGTCAATGTGGCAATCAAATCGGTGCTAAGGTAAGTGGGAATTTCTCGAAACTCGATCATCGATCTCTTGGCGTTCGTTCGACTGATGCAAGCTCAACTCCAGCCAGCTCGCAAATGCTTGAGCGAGTTTCCATTTTTCGTATTGTCAGCGGTGATCGAAATACGAGCAACAAAAAAGTTGAAAAATGCACTGCTTCTTAATTTCGGTCAGGCAAAGTTTCGTTGTTTGCTTTTTTCTCAAATTGTCGCTGTATTTTAGGCTCGCGCACTTTGTGGCAGGCTGCAACTTATACAGCGATTCTTTTTTTTTTTTGGTTACTATTGCTTTTGATTGTTGCTTTATTTGAGTGTTGTTTATTTTCGTCAAGTTTTCGGTGCATTGCGCTTTTGCGGCGCGAATCGTAGAATTTCTGAGATAAAACCGCGTTTGCTCACTTTTTGGTAATTTGGAGAAAATCCAGTTTTGTCAGCGGGTTTCCTTAGCAATTTTTTAAATTGTCAGTAGCCAAGCCAAGTAGCCATGTGTATGTGCATATGGACATACTTATATACAAACGCACATTTGTAGCGAGCTTTGCATTTTCAGTTGAACGTGCGTAAATGCCTTTGCAATGTTGATAAAGAAGCGGATTGATGATCTCAACTACTGAAAATCAATGTCAGGGATTCCTGTACATAATTGAAAAATCGCAATGCAAAATTTTTGAAATTCCAAAGAAACTTTTTTGTATTTAATTCGCAACATCATAACAATTTTACCAATAATTATAATAACGTGAACGACATACATCCAATCAAGGAATATTAAAATTGTAAGAATATTATTAAATAGAATATTTAATTAGGCCTCATCATTTGACTTTTAAAGTCCAAACGAATGCCAAATATTTTGTTTAACAATTGAAGGCCTCAAATTGGATTTCACTGTTGCTTACTTACGATAAACAGCTTCTCTAACAACAAATAAATAAACTGATCTTCAGGCACATCATTGAATGATACACAAACATATTTATACGTACTCATATAAGAAATTCGTCCGATCTTTAAAGAATTGTGTCTTTACCCCACACAATGTCCGTGGCGTCTGCCTGGAAAGTCAAACATACAAGTACTTTCAGATCAGATACACTTAGGTATATATGTATATTCAAATGATTAGTCGTATATTCGGTAAGATATTGCTTATCTTAGTGCTATGGTATATATGTGCTTAAAGGTATGGAGGTATGTAAATGATATAGTCATGTTTATGCATTTAAATGCTTTCAATCGGCCCCATGCATATTTCTACTTTTATTTTATAATATATATATGTATATAATATGTTTGCAAGTATGTAATAGTCTTTATTAACATAAAATGTTACTTAATGATCATATACTTATGTGTTTGGGCATTTATATAAATACTGCATTAATCAGTAGTTGGAAGTTTGTAACAGGCTGAAGGAAACGTCGGATACCCTTTAAAATATATATAGCGTGACGAGCTGAGCGGATTTAACCATATCTGTCTGTATGTCCATCGGTCTGTCTGTATATACGCGAGTTAGTCTCTCAGTTTTTGAGATATCGATCTGAAATTCGGCACCGCTGAATTCGGACCAGCATATAGCTGCTGTACAAACTGACCGATCAAAATGACGTTCTTGTATAGAAATCGTTTTCATTGTTGAGAACAATAAAAGTTGAATAAATGGAAAAAAAATAAGAAAAGATAAGTAGTATATTCGCAAGTTTTGCTTATGGGCGGTTAATATATTATTTTTTCATATGTTCGAGCCGTAATTAAAAATGTTTGTACTGGTATCTGATATATTATAATATAGCCATGTACATGAGTCTGTAGATATCCCAACAATTGGGAATCGGTTGGCTCTCGACGGTCTGTTTATGAACATGCATACATATGAATATCATCATCATCATTTTATACCCTGAACAGGGTATATTAAGTTTGCCACGAAGTTTGTAACACCCAAAAGGAAACGTCGGAGACTCTATAAAATATATACATAAATGATCAGCATGATGAGCTGAGTTGATTTAGTCATGTCCGTCTGTCCGTCTGTCTGTATATATCGGAACTAGTCCGCCAGTTTTTAAGCTATCGATATGAAATTTTGCACCTGTCCTTTTCTCACTAAGAAGCTGCTCATTTGTCGGAACGACCGATATGACTATAGCGTATAGATGCCATACAAACTGAACAATCGGAATCAAGTTGTTATATGGAAAACTTTTTTATTTGACAGGGTATCTTCACGAAATTTGGCATAGATTATTATTTGAGGCAATAATGCAATTTCCGAAGAAATTGTTTAGATCGGATCACTATATCATATAGCTGCCATATTAACTGAACGGTCGGAATCAAGTGCTTGTATGGAAAAATCTTTCATTTGACGAGTTATCTTCGAAAAAGTAGGCACGAGTTATTGTCTATAACAACAATGTTATCTCCGAAGAAATTGTTCAGATCAGATCACTATATCATATAGCTGCCATACTAATTGAACGATCGGAATCAAGTTTTTGTAAGGAACCTTTGTATTTGTGAAGGGTATTAAAGCTTCGGTGCAACCGAAATAAACATTTTTTCTTGTTTTTTTCTAAAGATGTGTGATTTGTTTCAGATGAGATCCCTTAGTCAGCTATTGTTTTTTATCACAATATCAAACCAGTATTTTCCCTTTAAATGTTAAAAACTTATACTGCTACATAAACGAATGAAGTCAATTACTTAGAAATTTATTTCAATAGGTTATTTCCAAAATAAAGTAAAACGTTTGGCAAAGACCTGAAGTCTTTTCCAGACCGACGAACTTTTCGCTGTTCCAGTATGTACTTATACATATATTTTCATATAAGTAAATTCAATATTATTTATTTTCTTTGAAGACAAGATGCATCGTCATATCGCTTACGACGACTTTATATTAGTCTGGCAAACTGTCTTATATTTCATATCTAACAAGCACAACACAACACCACAACACAGCACAAAAATATATGTATGCATGTAAGTGCGTGCTGTCATATATTAAAAATAAGTTGCCTAAAAACCATATTTTGATATTCAGCAAAGTAATCGGAAACGCCTTGCATTTGAGAAACCATATCGCAGAACAAAACGAGATATGTGCATTTATTTATATAATACTGCGTTTACATGGGGACTCTTTTGACGCTCGTTATCGGCAAATTCTCTTTTGCTGTCGCTCTGTGTGCTTACACGAGCAAAAAGAGTGTATCAACTCAAATCAAGTTTTTCTGTTATTCCTTTTAATAAAATTTTCGCCGTGCTGTTCGCACCATATACCGTGGTCTATTTGTGGCTTGTGCCACTTATGGAGCCGCAATATGGTGGGAATCAGCGATGACGGTCTCTGGTCGCCGAAAACTCCTCTCGGTGCAACATTGCATGATGCTTGCATGTTTGCCTGTATGTCGCACCGTTTCAACGGATGCGATGCAGGTTTTACTAGGTGCACCCCCTCTTGACCTGATTGTCATACAGCGTGCTGTTGCTTTCAGGTTAAGAAGGGGCTTGAGTGTGTCATTGCTGCGGAATGACTGGATTTCCGATGATGATGTGGAGAAGGAGGGGTATCTAGGGAGCAAGAGGCTTCTAGATGATAGGGTTAGGAGTAGGTGGCAAGACCGTTGGGACAACAGTCCTAACGGTCGGGTGACTTATGAGTACATCCGGGACGTTAGGTTCGTTGAGGGTAACCCAGACTTCAGATTTTGTCTGAGTCTGGGTTTTTTGTTAACGGGGCATGGGCCTCTGAATGCATTTTTGCATCAGAGGCACCTTTCTGATAGGTCGGGGTGTTTGTGTGGGGCGCGATGTGAAGACTGGGTTCACTTGATCGCGGAGTGCCCGATGTACTCGGACATTAGGGATCTAGGGGGTATGGGGATTAGCTGGACTGATGGACGGTTAGATGTTAGCGGTGTGATCTCCACTAGTCGGAATGCCGAACAGTTAGGGTCGTTTGCGCGTGAATTGTTTAGGCGGCGGAGGCGTTTAACTGTGAGTTAGGGTTAGCTTCTTGTGTGAAAGGTGTGTGAGTGTAATGTGCGTATGGGGTTCAACCCTTGGTTACCAGTCCAGAGCTGTATGGAGGCTCAACTGGTAGTAGCTTCGGCTACGAGGTCTGACCGGAGACTTAATTCTGGTACCACGGGGAGCAGGGGCCCTTGGAGTTCGCTCCAACCTGCTCGTGCGGACTGGCCCTTCGGGGAGTATCGTGGTGGTTGTGGTTTATACCCAAATGCGGGAAGAACTGACGTTTTGTCAGTTGAATGTGGAGTTGCATTGCAACCGGGTGCCGGACCCAAAGTACGCCAGAGGTTTTAGATAGGCCTCGAACCTTACCAAGGTGTGTAGTGTGTCCATTCCACACTACCAATCGCTACTGAAAAATGCCTAGCATTTTCGGGGCGCTGATCAACGCATTGTATTGATACGCTGTGCTTTTGAGCGCCGTGAGATAAGGCCGTCGACGGCAGGTACTCACGTTAAACACACCGGACGTTGTCCGTCCGTCCGTCCGTCTGTCTGTATATATGCAAACTAGTCCCACAGTTTTTAAGCTATCGATCTGAAATTTTGTACCTGTCCTTTTCTCACTAAGAAGCTACTCATTTGTTGGAACGGCCGATATCGGACCACTATAGCATATAACTGCCATACAAACTGAACAATCGGAAGCAAGTCCTTGTATGGGAAACTTTTTTATTTGACGTAATATCTTCATGAAATTTGGCATGCGTTATAAGGTAAGGTAACAATGGTAACAATGAAATTCCTGAAGAAATTGTTTTGATCGGATGACTATAGCATATAGCTGCCACACAAATTGAACGATCGGAATCAAGTGCTTCTATGGAAAACTCTTTTATTTGACGAGGTATCTTCATGAAGTTTGGCACAGAATATTATTTAAAGCAATACTGCAAGCTCCGAAGAAATTTTACAGAACGGATGACTATAGCATATAGCTGCCATATTAACCGAAC